TTTAGGTGGAGACAACGGCTGTGTTAACTGCAGAATCGCTCAAGTGAAGATAAAAGGTGCGGATTTAAATGGAACAGGTATATAATTTATTTATAAATATTCAAAAAGAAATAGGAAGAATAATTTACATGTGATTCCTCGTACGACTGATTTTTACACTGAACGGCAGATGACGATTGTGGCTGATGGATAGGTACTTGTTGATGCGATACAAATTCCGTTGGCGCCTGATATGCTTGGGGCGACTGAGAAGTTGGCTGAACCTGCGTTAAATGCGGCGTTGACTGCTGTTTTGCTTCATGTTTTTGCATCTGTATGTGGGAAGCATTGCCCTGCGCCTGTTATATCAGAGATAAGAACTTTTTATACTTGATATAGTTGTATGTACAGAACATACCAAATTTACCAACGAAATTGCACGACCATGCTGTTCATAAGTGTCGTTCAGTCCCTGTACATGAAGATTAAAATAGATAATAAATTAATGCCATATGTATGTAAGAAAATATATGTAAGTATAAACGGTAAACATTGATGCAGTTACCGAATGCTTATTTAAAATTGAACGAGAGAAGACATTCTTTTTTAAGTATTCATCATCAACGTCTTGTAGACCCTTTTTCGTCCATGAAAATTGGTTAGTAGGTATTTTAATTTCTATTTTAGAATGTGCTTAAAGGATTTACCGAACGTTTTTCTAAACCCTGATGCCTTAGTGATAAACGACTTAGTGCATCTAGTGGATTTTTTCGCTCCTAAGTTTTCGTTTATTGATTATTAATTCTAAAATGTAGAAGTTATTGCAACTTAACTTACACTTATCTTGGCTTGTTCTGCAGCCTGACTCGGTGTAAGGCTCACTTCGCTAGCCGTTTTCTTGCAAAGGAAAAAATTAAAACCTCGGAGATTTGTTCATATTACCTTGCGAACTTACGAAGACTTGTGTCTTTGATGATTGCGGCTTGTGCAGAGTTTGATAATTGCTTCGTTTGGATTCCATTCAAAAAGTTTATTTGTATTTTGCTTACTATCTTTTCGATACGAAAGTATATGAAATTTTTTGTTTGAAGAAAAATATATAAGTAGGTATACTTTCCTGAGATCAATTATTAAATTATTTCAATTTAATTATTGACAAACAGGCAAATGATTCCTCAATTTTTTTTTTGTTCCACCAAGTGCTTTGTTGAATTTTTTTCCAAGGCAAATTAAAATGCTTTTGGTAGTATCAAGGCGAATTTATATAAGGTGATAGCAGGAGTACAAAAACAAAAATTTACATGTATTTTGTTTTTGCTTTGGCGGCATGAACTGTCAAAATCTGTAAGAGTGTGTGTAGAAATTCAAACAAAATTTTTCATTTTGATATCAGAAGCCGTGCGGCGAAACACATACACAAAATCAGCTGAGCTAGTAACACCACCTTATATAAGTTCGCCTTGGGTAGTATATTCGCATGATTCAATAGGATGTTCCACAAGCTACCCACCCTATTCCTAAAAACAAAAACAGTAATATTTCTTTTCCAAACTTCTTTGCAAGTTTCAGGAACATTTTTAAATTTTTAGTAGTGAAATTTATACCTTTTAAATTTCAATAAATGTTTGTTCTGCATTCGCTGGTGATAACAAGATAAAATGGGTGAGCATCGTTGGCCTGCAGAAATTCACTGTAGGATAAAGGGACGAAATTCCCTTAGATGCCGAATAGTTGTATTTATTGACGTTCACGGATACCTATTGATTCTGACAAGTCGCTGTAAAGTAAGGCGCGCAATGGTTCTGGTAAATGAGTCAACGAAGGTATTTAGGTATTTATCTAGAGACACAATCCTGGTGTCCCCGAATGAGACTTTGACGCAATATAATATTGGAAAACCGCATCCATGGGGCCAATCGTAACTCACGAGAGCTCGGTTTAGTCAATAACGCGATGTAATTGCATACTTACGACACTACTCATTTGACGATGTAGATCATGTTCCCTGCCTCAGTCGTTCAGTAGCTGCGTGTCCTTTTTATCCTTCCTGAGCTCGATCAGCACGAATTGCCAATTGGGACAATGTAAGCCAATGCTTAATCACAGCGCACGGCAGTGCGCGCGAGTGACGAAAGCAGCCATAGAAGCATGCTGAAATGACTCGATTATATATACACGAGATTTGGAAGTTTTTACACAGAGCTCCAATCGACATGTTTGAGATATCGTTGGAAAGGTCTTGCAGAGTGTGTCCAGAAAATGTATTCAAGCTTCATAAACGATTAACCAGATTCTTAAAAATCAGGCTAAAGTGATGCGAAACAAAAAACTTTTTTTTGTTTTTCCCGGATTAAGAAGGCATGTGGGTACACCCAAGATATTTAGTGTTATTCTATAGGCCAATACCTTTCAAACGATACTTTATATATTAAGTTCCGGCTACTAGTTGGAAAGATATAGAGGTAAATGCGTTTTGGTTCGTGTCTCCACTACGAAATGCTTTGGTATGTATGTGGCGACTGTACGTCCCTTCATTTAATTTTTTTCAAACTTTCAAGAATTAAAGTACCAAAAAACTAGGAAGGTTTCGTTCCAGGATATTTTGATTTGTATGCCTTTGTGGGCGTGGCTGCTATCTGAAATTCGAAAAAAGGCAATTTTTTAAATTACCACTGAGGCCGCACTCCTCAGTCCATGTCATTGGTGTAGATATCAGTAGAAGGGTCTTAAAACAGGCTATCTAATGCTGTATTTTGTGTTTATGAAATATAAATATCTCATAGCCAGGGAACGGATTTTATGGAAATTGCCTTTTTTTTCTGCTAAAGAGATAGAGTATATTCGATTAAGAATGTCCACGGTTTAGCTTTCCCTGATTCCATATATACACATTTAATGTTGCCTTTTTTTGCCTTTGTTTAAGATATTTGCCCTTTTTTGCCTTTTTTAAGATATTTGCCTTTTTTTGCCTTTTCTACCTTTAAAAAAGTAATTGTAGCATTTACATATTTTTTTTAAGATTAAAAAATAAAAAAATATACGCATGCCCATGCGGCTTATAGAAGCGCAGGGACCCCTTGCCAAATTGGTGATGAAAAAATTCAAAGCCGTTTTCTCCGCTAACGTAGACTTGAAGACAATAAGGGGTGTGGATAAAATTGTAAAGGGCGAGGAAAACGCCCTTATTCCTGTTAATATGAACGTTTCAAACGTTCCATATTTAAATTGGGCTCCACTTGTATCAACTTACGTCGAGCGCACATTTAGTACATTCTTCGCGAAAATCGAATGAAAATGCTGCCAGAAAACTTCAAAATGCATTTTGTGGTTGAATGTCACTACAACTATACAGATTAAAGTTTTATGCAAGGTGTATTAAACAAGGTGGTGTTGGGGCGACAGCTGAGTTTTTCGCCGAGGAGGCCATTACGTCAAAATGATGTGTTTGTTGTAACTCATACCAATGACAGTATGGACATCAGCGTATAATTTGTTAGTGTAATTTTTTACTTACATACGGCCAACACCACCTTGTTAAATACGCCTTGGTTTTATGAGTTAGAAACTCGAAAGGATAAAATAGTCAAAGATTCAAAGTACGAATTTTTCATTTAATGAAACTAGTTTAGTTTTTCTCTTTTTACTTGTAATATAAACATTTCTAAAATAAATATATTTTTTGATTGTTCTTCGTATTTTCTGTATTTTTTTAGTGCCTTATTTTGCTTTTTTTGCTTTTTCGCTATTTTGTTTTGCCTTTTTTGCAATACCTAGTCCCTTTTCCTACCTATTTCGCTATTTTATTTTGTCTTTTCCAGCCTATTTCGTTACTTTATTGTGCCTTTCTTATAGGTTTTTAGGTCCTAAAAATCCGTTCCCTGGTCATAACGTTATCGGGCTGCTGAAAATATAGATTCGGGCATTTTCTCCGAAACTGGTCAGTCGATTTTATTCTAGGTTTCCTCACGTCTAGCCGAAAACCTTATCTTTCATTTGGTATATAGCGTATATCTGGGAAAACTCTTGTTGTGGAGATATTGCGATTAAAATTGAAAAAATGTCGCTCAAAAAGGGGCAAATGGTTAGAAATTAACATATTCGTCTAATTTGGTTACTTTAAGATATAAAAATAACATACCCAGTTCCTCGAAAAAAGTGCCCGTTCCCCGATTGCTACTTAAACCGAATTCCCTGCAAATCGGGGAATATCCCGCGAGTTGGCAAGTTTAAGGATGCAGCTGTGCTAATCACTTCGTACATGTCTTGGAAACCACAATTTGTGTGTACTTTAGAGTTTGTTTCAGTCACATGCCGAAATTGTAACCTTTCCCCTATTTTAATTGTGGGTATGTACATAATATTTAACTATGCTACATGGGATTATCACCCGCACTTAACCTACCTGGGAAGACGCATGCATTTGTACATAAATACGTATGTATGAATGCATTTAGTTCACCCAATGTGCCGCTACTACTTACATACATACATAACGTCGTTTAAAGTACAAAACCGCGTATCGTCATTCTGCAAAACCACGTAACTGACATTGGCTGCCAAAAATTGGATTTGCTCACACAAACTCTTGGCTTAATCCTAATCCATTCCTCCTGAAATATACTAGCCAGAAATGCCATTGATTTATAAAAAAGAGAACCATTTTGAAATATGAATTTTTTTACTCCCTAGAAAATAATTTATTCCACCTAACATATGCGGTTTTGCATTATCTTGATACGCGGTTTTGCATTTTGTTGATAAGCGGTTTTGTACTTTAAACGACGATATGTATAAATTGCCACTGATCAAAACTACTCGAAAAAAAACATTAGTTTAATAGCACGAGTGCAACACCGTACACGTGATATAAGTAAAACTTCTTGAAAAACAAATGTGTGCGCCCCACACCCGGTAGAAATCTTAATAATAGGTGCGTTCGTTTAAAATCTCTAGTAAAAAACATCCAACTGCCAAATTCCGCCGAAATATCATCTGTTCTCCCACAAGAGAAGAATATCCAAAATAGTACGCGAACAGAAAATTTGCAGAAACTTACAAGTTAGACGAACAGCTGATATATTTTTGTTTACATTCAAAAGTGTAAAATTTAAAACGTACGTAAACTCATCACAAAGTGGTATCCTGACACAGTTTATTGATTAAACAAATAACTACTTTCTTCTTACAAGTTTAATTAGTCGCATTTTGTAATTTTTAATTTCCAAACCATCAAATTCAATTTTGTGATTTGCGTAAATTCAAACCAGCTGTTTTAGATCAGCTGTTTTCCTGTTGGCAAATTGCTGTTTGCAAAAATTTTTCCAGCAGAAACCAGCAGCTCCCCTCAAAATGAAATGTCACTTTGCTCTCTCAATTTCCCCTACTTTGCAAGTTTTTTTGCGTACGCGAACGCAAAAACCTGAAAGTTTTGGTAAAACATGAACAATTAACAGCAACACGAACGCAACTAAA